TGGCCTCACGGGGGTGGCTAGTTTGTTCTTTGGACTGCCTTGAGGGCCAACCCAAGCCAAGCCGTCTCCTCCTCACCCCCTTTTCGTTCGCCTCCGCCTCCTCTTCATCCTCCTGACCCACCGTTCCCTCCTGCTCCTCTTACTTGTCCTCACTCTCCTTTCCCTTCTGCCTTCGCCCTCCTCCTCATCATCCCCTTTCTCCTTCCCCTCCTCGCTCCCGCCATTCCTTGTCCTCCCTTCTTTATCTCGCTGCTCCCGCTCCTCCCGCTTTTCCTCCTTCCCCTTCCTGCTTCTCTTCCCCCTCGTCCTGCTACTCTTCCTCCCTCCTGCCCGCCTCCCCCCCCTCCAGCGAGGTACATGCAGGAGTTCCACTCCTGCACCGTCGGCAGCCTCGTCACCGAGTGCGCTCGCCCCCCCCTGACGACGCCGCCGCTGACGACGACGATGACGATGACGATGACGAGGACGAGGACGAGGGATGATGATGATGATGATGATGGTGGTGGTGGTGGTGATGATGATCATCATCATGATGATGCCGATGATGCTGATGATGAGGATGATGATGATGAGCATGATGAGGGTGATGGTGATGGTGATAGTGATGGTGATGGTGGTCATGACGATTATGATGATGAGTCCGCTCATATTGATGATGATGATGATGGTGATCATGATGTTCTGCTGCTGCTGATGATGATGATGCTGATGATGATGATGATGATGATGACGACAACGACGACGACAATGATGATACGGATGATGATGCTGATGATGATGCTAATGTTGTTTATGCTGCTGATGATGATGCTGACGATGACAATGTTGCTGCTGCTGATGCAGATGATGCTGCTGCTGCGGATGAGGATGCTGCTGCTGCTGATGATGATGATGATGATGATGATGCTGATGGTGATGATGATGGTGATGGTGGTGATGGTGATGGTGATGGTGATGCTGATGGTGGTGATGATGATGATTAGGATGATGATGATGATGATGATGATGATGATGAGGATGATGATGATGATGACGATGATGATGATGATGATGACGATGGCGATGGCGATGGCGATGACGATGCCGATGATGCTGCTCCTGATGATGAAGACAATGACGATGATGATGCTGCTGCTTATGATGATGCTGCTGCTGACCACGATGTTTATGATGATGATGATGATGATGATGATGATGATGATGATGATGATGATGATGAAGATGATCATGGATGGTGGATGATGGATGATGGATGATGATGATGATGCTGATGATGATGATGCTGATGCTGATGATGATGATGATGATGATGATGAAGATGAAGATGAAGATGAATATGAATATGAAGATGATGATGATGATGATGATGATGATGATGATGATGATGATGATGATGATGATGATGATGATGATGATGATGATGATGATGATGATGATGATGATGATGATGATGATGATGATGATGATGATGATGATGATGATGATGATGATGATGATGATGATGATGATGATGATGATGATGATGATGATGATGATGATGATGATGATGATGATGATGATGATGATGATGATGATGATGATGATGATGATGATGATGATGATGATGATGATGATGATGATGATGATGATGATGATGATGATGATGATGATGATGATGATGATGATGATGATGATGATGATGATGATGATGATGATGATGAGGAGGAAGAAGAAGAGGAGGAGGAGGAGGCGGAGGAGGAGGAGGAGGAGGAGGAGGAGGAGGAGAAGGGCCACCGTGCGGATGTGTGCGAGGTCCGCGTCTGGGTGGCCGCGGTGGTGCCGCTTGTCGGGGGCCGACTCGGGAAGTGGATCCGAGATGGTACTCCAGAAATCAATGGGTGAGCTTTCGGTCAGCTTTGGTGATCGCTTGGAGAGGGACGGGAGGTTTCGAAGCGATTGCTGCGTTTGACTAGAGAGGCGGAGACGGCCCGAGGCAGCGGCAATCTGCCTGCTGGTCAGGTCTGGTCGGGTGTATTGTCACGGTTGGTGCCGCGTTCAGATGAGCGTCGGTCGGTCGGTCGGTAGCGGATGGTCGTCGGACGTCGGCGGTCGGGGGACTGACGGTCGGTCGGTCGGCGGTCGGTCGGTCGTCGGTCGGTCGTCGGTCGGTCGGGGGACTGACGGTCGGCGGACGGTCGTCGACGGTCGGCGGACGGACGTCGTGTTGGGGGTCGGACGGCCGGCGGACGGCCGGCTTGCCGTCGTCGGTCGGGTCTGCGCCGTCGAACAGGGCCATGGACAATCGGACGACGGGCGTCGGACGTCGTGGGCTCCAGTGGTAGTCGGCGGACGCTCGAGGGGGGGTCGCGATGGACTACTTCAGGAAAGCTGGCTGCAGGGTAGGCCTGGTGGCCCATCTGGGAATTTCCCGCGGTAGTCGGCGGCCGCGCGGAAGAGGAGGAGGAGCAGGAGGAGGAGGAGGAGGAGGAGGAGGAGGAGGAGGAGGAGGAGGAGGAGGCGGAGGCGGAGGAGGAGGCGGAGGGAGGAGGAGGAGGAGGAGGAGGGGAGGCGGAGGCGGAGGCGGAGGCGGAGGCGGAGGAGGAGGAGGAGGAGGAGGAGGAGGAGGGAGGCGGAGGAGGATGAGGAGGAGGAGGAGGAGGAGGAGGCGGAGAGGAGGAGGAGGAGGAGGAGGAGGAAAAGGAGGCGGAGGAGGCGGAGGAGGCGGAGGAGGCGGAGGCGGAGGCGGAGGCGGAGGATGATGATGATGATGAGGAGGAGGAGGAGGAGGAGGAGGAGGAGGTACACGGATCTACGACAGGAGGAATGGCTGCAGCATGGGCCTGGTGGCCCCCGTGGCTGATGCATATGGGGGTCGGCGGACGCTCAGAGAGAGGGTCACATTGTGCTACGACATAGTGTCATGGAGGCAAGTTGCAGTTTAGTCCTTGTGGCCGTTCGGCCCGACACCAGAGTGGGTCGGCAGATGCTCGCCGGGAGGGTCGCGATGATCAACGGCAGGGAATCTGTTTTGAAGCGTGGGCTGCAGGTCCAGTCTCGCCAGGCTGGAGGGCGCGGGGGCTTCGTGTCAGGGCTCGCTCTGCTCAGGGGTACTCGAGCCGAGACGAAGAGAGGGAGAGAGAGCGAGACAGAGAGAGTGGATATGAAGGATAATGAGGAGGAACCCGTGGAGGAGGAGGAGGATGTGGAGGAGGAGGAGGAGGAGGAGGAAGAGGACGAACGTTATTATTAATATCAATAATGCTGGTAGTGGCACTACTGCCAGTAATAGTGATAGCAATCACACTGAATCACACTACGACTACGAATACTAATAGGGCAAGTTTTACTAAGACGCTTCATGATACTACTAAGAAGATGAGTACGCGTAATTCGAGTAATCGCATACTAGTATTACTGATCACACTTACTACTACTGGTGCGACTAAGAACAACACTAATAACCATCAACACAATGCTAGCACTAATTCGCAATAACCATAAACACAAGGCTAACACTAACACAATGCTAACACACATTAATGCTATTACTCAACACAATACTAAGAAGAGGAATCCACATACAAAGAGGAGGAGGAGGCGGAGGAGGAGGAGGAGGAGGAGAGGGCAGATGAGGTGGATAATGTTGATGATGATCACGACAGCGGTGATGACGACTATAATGATGCAGTTAGTCGCCACGTGTACATGTTTTGTGTGGTCTATGAGGACGCGAGGACAAGACCGACTCCGAGGATGTTGCTGTAGCAGATGATGATGGTGGTGATGGTGATGGTGGTGTTTGTGCTGGTGTGATGGTGTGGAGGCTGCGGAGGGGGAGGAAATGAATGAGGAGGATGAGGACGGGGCGGTTGCGGCACAGCTGATGCAGTCTTTGGAGCAGTCGAATCTGACTGGCGGACCCTGGCTGACGCGCGTTCCCAGACATCCTCCGCCGCTTTTTTGTCACAGCGTGGCTCCCCCTCAGGTCAGGACCCCTTCCCCAGGACCGGCTTTCCATCCTGAGTCGTTTTTTGAAGGGTCCTGGCCCCGCGACGGCCCCTGGAGGCTGAAATTCCAGACTCTTCGCGTAAGATCGACAAGGGTGAGATTCGGGACCGCGCCGAAGGTCTTCCCTACGACGCCGCCAACCCCCGGGGCGAGTTCCAACACCGCCGGCCCCCCTCACCTGAGCCAGACTGGAACGGGGGTGCGGGCCCTTCCCCCACCCGTTCCCCACGCAGTCCCACTAGCCCGCCCTGCCACCCCCGGGCTGCCACGTCTCCAGACCACGAACCCTCGCAAGAAGCCAGCCCGAGGCACAGGCCTCATGCACAGGCAGCTGCCCGTGCGTAAGGCCCTCCCACGGTGAGGGGTGATGGGACCACTGCTCGCCACGGCGACGGGCCCGGGGTAGCAGACACTGCTCCCTCGTGCCCCCCACTCACGGCGCCCAAAGGCCACAAAGGCGCCCAGGTCGAGCTCTCCCCCTCACCGAGCACCGATCCTGCTGAGGTCGTTCACTCCTCAGCCAGCCCCGTGCAGGAAGTCGGGGCCTGCACTCCAACCTCACCCGCCGATCCCCGTTCGGACCCCGCTTCCGCCGTCGCGGACGACAGGAACCTCACGCGCCCGCTGGGACAGAGCACTCCACGTTTCCCTAGCATACCCATGGCCCACCCGCCCACTGGTACGTGGAACCGGCGCGAGCGCCGCCCGCGTTGGCACAGTGAGACTGGCCGTAGTAGCCCGTACGGCAACCGCAGGCCGGGCGGGACAACTGGGAAACCAACGAGCGTTGGAGCAGGCCCGACCAGTCGCGTGCCTATGAGGAGGTACCTTGGCCCCCCTTTGCAGCCGCACAGATCGAGGACCAACCAGAACACCGTCAGCCCAGGCACCACCAGGATGACGGGCACAACCACCGCGACCCCGTGACCCGCCAGTACATCTACCGGACCCCCCTCGACAGAGTCTCTCTCCAACCACACGTCGGGGAAGCCCCCGCAGAGATTTTGAAGAGACTACAAAAGGACGTGGGCCCTTACTTCAACGCCCTCTGGCACCAGTGGACCACCGCATACCTTCCGAACCCAGACAGGGTCCGTACCGACCCCTCATTTGAGCAGCCCGATTCGTGCTCCCGTTTCCTTCGCGAGTGGGCACGATTCGAATACAACGCCTTTGCGATGAATGTCGCACTCAAGCTCGGAGTTTGGTGGAACAGAGTGCGTGCTGTCGCCCAGGAGGGCCATGCGCACCGACACCCCCAACAAGGGCAAGGGCAAAGGGCCGCGGGGGGGGGGGGCGACGTCCAACGTAGCAGGACGGCGGGCTCCCAAGATGACCCGGTTGGTCCTCCAGATGGAGCATTCCTCCAGGCCCAGCCGCCATTCGACACTGATATGACTGGGCGGGCCCCGGCTACCTGGCGGTGGGCCCGCCTACCATCGCACGCTCTCCACTGACGTGCTAATGCCGCCTCGGACGTGCCCGGCTGGGGCTCATGGCCCGTCCCAGGCTCTAGGTCCCCCCCGGGGCACGCCTTGCGGCACATCTCCCTTGGATGGCTTCCGCCTTCCCGGCCCGCCCTAGGCGTCCAGGGACCAGGCCCATCTGCGGCCCTCTGTACTGCTAGCGCCATTGCGGCATCACATTGCAGCTCCTCGCTGCCCTACCCTCATACCCCTAGCGGTTCCATTACCGTTGACGGTAAGACAGGGTCGTCGACACACACACACACACACGTACTTAGGTGCTTCCCTGTCAGTCCTACTGAGCGGTGCCGGCTCCGCTGCGATGGTTACGGGAGGGGGAGGGAGGGAGACGGAGGAGGAAGATGGAGGGAGGAGGAGGAAGAGGCGGAGGAGGAGGAGGAGGAAGAGGAGGAGGAGGAACAGGAGGAGGAAGAGGAGGTCGAACAGAAAGGGCAGAGGCCTCTTGGATGCGTTTCGGAGTCTCTTCGGATGTCACTTGCGAGCTTCTTGTAGGCCTGATGGGGCGTCTTGGGGACCTCTTGGCGGTTCCGGGGACCTCTTGAAGCGTCTTGGGTGCCTCGGGGGAGCCTCTTGTGGCCTCTTGGCGGTATTTCGGGAGCCTCTTGGGGGCATCTTCGGGGCCTCCTGGGGTCTCCTGGGCGCCTCCTGGGGTCCTCTTGGGGCGCTCTTGGGAGTCTCGGAGGCCATCTTGTGGCCATCTAGGAGGAGCTCGATCAAAGAAAGGGGGGTATTTTATTAGCGCCCACCCCCAGGAGGCCAAAATGGGTCCCAAGCCGTGTGTGACATCCATGGTTTTGGCCTTTCGCCGAGGCCATCTTGGACGCTCCAGCGCCTCGCGGAACCTCCCGTCCAGGTCCAATGGGAGGAAGTAGGGGGAGGGGTAAACCTTTCCCCGAAGGGTAAGAAGGGGGATTGGAAGGGGAAATCACCTAAACCACTCACGCCTAGGGGCGGGCCGTGCGAGGGGGCTGGCATGCGGCCGGCGGGACCCGCCTTGCCCCTTTTCCCTGAGCTCCTCGGATGCCTGTAGAGGCCAGCTGGGTGCGCTCGGGTCATGTCTGACTCTGACGTCCTATCCCTCCCTACCACCCCTCACCATTGCGGTGTTTTTTTCTCTATCCGCGGACGCGTGTCGGAACAGACCTGGAATTCCCAGAACGACCCCATTGGGTTATGCGTAATCGGAAATAGGAGCTGCGTGTGTACTAGGAGGGGAGAAGGTGGCGGGTTAGCGTGAGGATGAGCAGGAGGAAAAGGAGGAGGATGAGGAAGGAGGAGAACGAGGAGGAAGAGGAGGACGAGGTCGAGCAGCAGCAGCAGGAGCTGGAGTGGAAGGGGCGGGAGGAGCAGGAGGACCAGGGGACGGCGGAGGAGGGGGAATGAGGGGTCGACAATGATGAAAGGCACGCTGGGGCGAGCTCGCCATTCCGAACGACGGTAGCAAGGCGCCGATCCGAAAATGAGACCCACGCTGCAAGCTGCAGCGGGAGCACCGTTTTGAAATTCCGAAAGCAATCGGATTGCAAAACACTGTAAGACTGATCAACTTTGGAAATCCTGTGTGCTCGAAGCAACAGTGCGCGGAGAGGGCCGGACATCTCCCGGACAGAGTTAGAGGAGAGGAGAGTCGTTTTCGTAATGTGTCATAGTAGAGAGCAGCGGGGAGTGAGGAGAGACGAGAGAGGAGGGAGGAGAGGAGGAGAGCAGCCAGGAGAAGGGAGGAGGAGGGAGGAGGAGGAGGATGAAGAGAGGCGGACCACGAGGAGGACGAGGAGGGCCAGCGTCAGCCCAGAGCGCGTGGACACGCCCTCTCGTCCCCAGGACCCTCCGCACGAGGCCCATGCAGGCGCTCCGTTCCACTGCGGAAGGCGCCCCCCTTGAATGATGGGCGCCTGCCGGGCCTGCCGCTCGGGCGAGGCCGCGTTTTGTAGCGGGCCCACCCTCCGCCCAGACAGCTCACACGGACACAAGGAAGCAGGATGTTGGAGTTGCGGGAACTGACCCAGCGATCGCCCCGTTTTGAAAAGGATCCACCCTCCGTCCACGCAGAAGCTTCACAATTTCAAGTGGTGGTCATACTATCTGCAGACGCCTCAAGAGATGGTCCCATGAGCAACGGAGCCGCCCTTCGTCCGCGTAACTGGTGCACAACTTGCTTGCTACCGACCATCAAGCTTCAGGATCGTACGCTGCAGTGAAGTCTCAAGTGACATGTCTGGCCAGCCCTACGGTCACGCCTGGTGGGTGGTGAGACAGGGAGGAGTCATGTATGAGGACGAGAGATGGAGCAGCAGGATGGAAGAGAGGTTTGGATGCAACTCCTGGGAGGAGCGCCCGTCCCCCATTTTGGATGCAACTCCTGGGAGGTTCAACTCAGCACGTGTTATGGCGCCAACATCGCAGAGCGGATTTCTTTCGGAAAACGATAGGGTGGGCCCGGGGTGTCCTGGAGAATTTCGTTCTGGATTTCGAGGTGAATTTCGGGCGGATTTGTTTTGGCCAGGAATGAAAACCAAAAAGAACCCACGCGAAATTCACTTCGATTTTCGCTCGCCGCTTCGGGCAAAACTCCACGCAGAGATCCACGCAGAAATCCGCTGCAGCACGTCTGCAAGGCCTGTGCACTGACACGTGCGCTGGTGTTCCCGTGGTCGACATCAGGCGCATGCCGGCATGATCCCGTTTTGTTCCGCCAGTCCAGCTCTATCCAGCTTCACCCTGGGCCTCATGTGGGCCGATTTGGCGCACTGATCCCCTATGATCGGGCGGTGCAGCAGGGGTCGACTTCAACGGTGTTTCTGCGATTTCGTGGGCCGTTTTCGTTTCGACTTCGTTTTGCAGCAGAGGCGGATTGGAGACAAGACGAGGAACAACGAAAACAAAATGTACACGAAAAACACTGTTTTATTCCAGCCCTGCTGAACAGTCCCGCATCGTTCCTGCGACAACCTCCCAGGATCGGGCGACGAAATCTATACGCATCCACTGCCCCCTGGCTGGGTCCTTCCTGGGCCCAGGAGCTGTGCCTACGCCCTCCTGGCCGAGGCAGGAGGGCGTGGCGTAGACATCGCTGCTGGGCCCAGAATGGCTCTGGCCAGGAAGCAGTGGATGTGTGCAGATATCGTCGCCCTATTGCGAAAACCTCACAGGAGTTGCCTGCTAAGGTTCGGCCACGCTCAGAGTGGGGTACGGGGAGGGGAGACGGTTTCTTAGAAGGACCCCTGCTTCGTGGAAGGCGCTGGCCTTATCTATAGATGTAAGGCCTGCGCCTTCAAAGGAGCGGCCTCCTTCGAATAAGCCTTCTCCCCTCCCCCTACCACCCCCTTGTGCGCGCCGCCTAAAGAATGAGGGCTCGCAAAGATCTCAAACGGAAAGCTGTATGCGCAATGCTGTTCTGCTGAGTGCAATCTGCTAGGCCCTGTGATCTTAGACTGGCTATGGGCACCCCTTTTGAATCAGGTTGCTGCTGGAAGCAACGGAGAAAGAATCGCCATCGCTTTTGCCCCAGGACCGACTTCCACTGCCAAACCATTTTTTGACGGTTCCGGGGACCAGCGAGGGCCCCCAGAACCCGAAAATGAAACAGCAGCATGCCGTCGTCGTGTTTTTTTTGGGAGGGGGGGGGATGTCAGGATGGGGGGCCGCGCCCCTGGCAAGGTTCTTGGTGGACGCCTCGGGCAAGGCGATCCTCCACGCGTTCCTGAGGCGCGCCAGCCCCCCCGCGGATGTCGTGCGTGCCTGGCCGTGGCTGTCGCCGTCGTGGTCGCCCCGCCTCCTCATCCTCCCGCTCCTCCAGCTTCCCTCCTCGTGAGCAGCTCCTCCCTGCCGTGCCCCGAGGCCGGTCGAGAGGGCGGGCCAGGCGTTTCGCCTGAGGCTTACTCACTGTTTAGTGGTCCTGAAGCGCGAAGCATTTGGAAGACTTTCACAGATGGAGGGCGGTCCGCTTTCAAGATGGAATTCTCGCCTTAGCACGGCGCGCACCTGCCTTGTGTACAGTTGGATGGGGGGCGGTCCGCTTTCAGAAGTTGGCTCTCGCCTTAGCGCTGTGCACATTAGCTTAAAACATTTGCCAGAGTTTTCACGGATGGAGGGCGTTCCGCTTACACACGTTGTCTCTCGCCTTAGCGCCGGGCACATTCGCTTTGAACATTTGCAAGAGTTTCACGGATGGAAAGCCGCGCCGTTTCCCAACAAAGTGGCTTTCGGCTTGGCGCAGCGCCCACTCGTTTTAAACGATTCGCGGATGGAGGGCGGCTCTTTTTCAAAATGCCGTTCTCGCCTTGGCGCCGCGCGCATTCGTCTTAAGAGTTTGCAGCAGTTGCCAAGGATTCCCATGGTTAATGTCCCAGAACTGGTGTTCTGGCACAGTGTCGGAGGAATGTCAGGGCGCAGCAGCCACGTTGATTCCCAGTGTGGAAGTCCCAGGAATGGTGTGCTGGCACAAGTCAGGATCGTCAAGGCGCAATGGTAAAGGTGATTCGCAGCGTCGAAGTCCCAGGAACGGTGTTCTGGCACAGTTCCGGAAACTCAAACGGTTGACTTCCAACGGGGCATTTCCCTCCGTGAAAATGAACTTTTGTAGGGGCCCATGAAGAGCGAGCTTGGAGGGAGGGTTTATTGCAGTGTCGTTGATGAGTCTTGGGTTCACACGGCCCCCTCCTTCTCCGCCTCCCTCCTCCTCAAGCAATTGTGGCTCAGAGATGTGGGCTGGGGTGCGTGCACTCTCGCCTCAGCCGCTTCCTCTGGGTCGTCCCTTGGCGCTTGAGGTGTAGCCTCCCCCCACATAGGTTGCGCGCACAACATTCACAGTCAAGTTTTATGGCGCGCCGCAGTGGTCCGTGGAACCACACTTCCCCTTGGCGTTCTCAGTTTGCTCCTGGCGGCGACGCAGATCCAGCTTGGAGGTGCGGGAAGTGCGGCTGCAACGGTAATCTCGGTCGCCTCTGTTCTGCAAGCAGTGCGGATGGTTGCGTTCTGAAGTTCAGGCCTCTACACCGGCACCGCCAGGCGGCATGTGGGCTGACGGCCCCGCGCAGGCTCCCCACCCGTTGGGATGTCGAGGCGAAGGCGGCAATTGTGGAACTTGTCCCAATGTCGGCAACCAGGGCAGCCTCACGGACGAAGAGCTGGGCCAGTTGGTCGAGCTCAATCGCAAGATGGGCGACATGGCACAGGCTGCGGCTCTACAAAAGATGTTTGACAACAAACAATATGTTGGTCCCTTCAGTGCGGGCCAACGCTTGCGACAACAATCAAGTCTTTCCCCAAAAAAACGCAAGGCTGGCGCAACGGCAAGAGGTGGTCCATCGTTTTGCTCCGCGATAAGCTGGGCAGGCAGAGGATGCCCAATGCTGCCAGGATCCTGTCGATCAGCTTCGATCCAAGGTGTGTGAGTCCGAGCCCCAGATAATCAAATACATATGTCCCTCAACACATAATTCGACGACGGTGCGTCAGTGTTCGATTTCTCGAGCCGGGTGGAGGACGTGGTTGGGACCAGCGGCGACGTGGATGAGGTTCAGGTTTCTGACAAGATGCTGGCAGCTCGTTCGGATCAGCTTTGTCAGGAGGTGCTGGCCCACGCCAATTACCAGGCAGCTGTTCGGATAAACGTCCGATACATTCGACGTGCTCAGGGTTTGGGGGAACGAACAATGACATAAACACAACAACTCGGATGTGCAGCGCTTGGGCAAGAAGCGCAAGGGCAACGAGGGACAGGTCGCGCCTCCTGCTGCCGCCGTTCGACGGGGCGGGAACCCAGCTGGCAGTGGACGACGGTGAGGGAACAGGCGATGGCAGCAGCAACGGCAGCAGCGCGGTGGACTCGGCCTCGCTGCTGGCGAAGGCGGACCGCGTTGCAAAAGGAGGTCCTTCGCCCGCCGAGCCTACGGCATGACCCCGCCCCCCCGCTTCGCAGCGGAGCTCCGGAGGCGGAGGGCAGGCATCGTCTATTTCAAGGGCATCGGCGAGTAGAGGGGGGACGCCATTCTTTTTCCGAGGGGCTGACTTCCTATCCCCGACATCTCTCGTCTCTTCCCTCCTGCTGCAGCATTGCCCAGCAAAGCGTGTCCGCATTTTTTTACGCCCCCCTCGAGAAGGGGCCATGCCCTCGAACCCCGCCAGGTTCTTACCTGCGCCCCCCAGCCTTGCATGCGCTCTCCAGGTCGAGATTGAAGCGCTTAATTGTGCGGCGTGATACTCCATGTGGGCTTGGTTTGTGCTGGAGCGCCATCTCGTTTCGACCAGCGACATAGCGCAGGCAGGTCAATGGGCATTGAACAAGGGACGGAAGGCTCCTTCCGCTCCAGCTATGCGTGCCCGGGACGGTGGGATCTTTGACGAGGTGGCACTCTTGATTCGGGAGGACTTTGGATTGGACGGTTCTGATTTCGTGCCGTTCTCGTCCCCGACAAGGCCCTCAGGGGGCTGGTCGCGGCCCCCGGGGGCTTGCCCATCCTGATCACTTCGGCTTGCCTGCGCGATTGCGAGGACCTATCGGACAGGGATGTATCTTCGCTGGCCGAAGTTGCGGCCCGTCGCGGAGAGCATGAAGGCCCTCGCTGCACAGTGTGTGTGTGTGTGTGTGTGTGTTTGTGTGTGTAGTATATACATATAACGGGGGACCGGGCCCGGGGGCGGGGGGCCGGCGCCACGACCACAAATGTCGGGCCCGGGCGTCATTTTCCTTGCGTTTTTCTACAAGGTTTCGGCGACCCGGGGCCAACAGGGCCCCGAGAGGCTGCAGGGAGGCCTCAGGAGGCCGCAACGATGGCTTCAGACGCCTTTCACGACGAATCTCATGATGCCAAGAAGGCCCCTGAAGGCCCCGAAGACGCCCCAAGAGGCACCCCGACAGAGCCCCAATAAGCAAACATCGTCGACTTCCTACGGGAGAACTTATATGTTTCGCGTGTTCGCCTTTTGGGCTTCCACTGCGTCCAAGACGGCCCCAGAGGCCCCCAAGACTGCCCCACAGGCTCCCAAGAGGGCTCCACGACGACCCCAAGAAGGTCCCAAGACGGTCCGAGAGGCCTCCAAAACAGCCCAAGAGAGCCCCAGGATGAGCCCCAGAGGGGCCCCAACGGTGCACAACCATATTCAAATTCTGAGCTTTCGGCCCCAGAGGCTCGCAGGAGGCCCCAAGAAGCTCCCAGGAGGCCCCAAGAGGTCCCCAGGAGGCCCTAAGAGGCCCCCCAGAGGCCCCCAGGCCCCCAAGAGACCCCCCAGGAGGGTTACAAGAGGCACCCCAATAGAGCCCATTTCCCACAGGAAAACTGATATTTTTGGCGTGTTCGCCTTTTGGGCTTCCACTGCGTCCAAGACGGCCCAAGAGGCACCCAAGACCGTCGAGGATGCCTCCAAGAGGGCTCCAAGACGGCCCACGATGGGGGCCAAGACGGCCAACGAGACGCATAAACCGCTTAACAACGCCCCAAATCGGCGCCCAAAGCGGGGACGAGGAACCGAACATGTGAGCCATTTGAGGCCCCCAGGAGACCCCAAGAGGCTCCAAGAAACGCCCAAGAAACTTCAAGAGGTCCCCAATGTTGAGGGAAACCGAGGAGAGAGCAGGTTTAACCAGAGCCTGAGACGTTACCATTGCGCCACCCTTCCGCAGCCTCTTTGACACAAAAGTTATCATGTTAGCGGAGCTGGCCACGGCCAGCCCCGCTGGGCGCCCCCCCCGCGCGTGGGGGCGCTGGCCATAGCTCTCGTGGCCGCGGCCGCAGGGCGAGCTTTGATCCACGGCGACCAGCTGACGCAGCAGGTGGCCAAGGTCCACGTGACCAAGCAGTTGAACGAGGTCTACGTGACCAAGCAGCTGGACAAGGTCTACGTGACCACAGGAGTGCAAGACGAGGTCTACGTGACCACCGAGAAGAAGGACGAGGTCTACGTGACCACAGGGTAGAAGTACGAGGTTTACGTGACCACAGAGCTGAAAGACGAGGTCTACGTGACTACCAACGAGCAGAACGAGGTTTCCGTGACCACAGACAAGCAGTACGAGGTCTCCGTGACAACAGACAACAGTACGAGGTCTCCGTGACCACAAACAAGCAGTGTGAGGTCTACGTGACCACAGACGAGCAGGACGAGGTCTACGTGACCACAGACAAGGAGTACGAGGTATACGTGACCACAGATAAGCAGGACGAGGTCTACGTGACCATGACGGAGCCTGGTGCTGAGTGGCAGGGCCTCGGGCTGAAGCCACCGACGTTCGACGGCCACGGGGAGACGTGGACGGAGTGGAGTTTCGTGATGAGGGCTTACCTGGGAGGCCAAACGGCGCAAGCGCTGAACCTCCTAGAGGCGGCCGAGCGACGAGGGGATCCAGACATCATCATGGCAGAGACCTTGCGTCGTCTGGAAGCCGAAGGGGTTGCGGCGACGAAGAAGATGTTCTTCGCGCTGGTCGTGACAGCCAAGGACAGTGCGCAGATGCTGATCAGGAACGTAGAAGATCAGCGCGGAGCGCTGGCGTGGAGAGCTTTGATCAAGCGCTACGAGCCAGCGACGGCGATGAAGGCGCAGGGTATCATGACGGCGATTCCCAATGTGAAGAATTTCATTTCGGATCTGGCAGGGTTCGAGTAGTGCCACTCAGATTGGGGGCGCGACACCAGGCGCTACGAGACGGCGTCGGGAGTGGTGTTCAATGCAGGAGTCAAGAAGAGCCTCTACCTGCAGAAGGCGCCGAATAACATCATAACGGTACTACAGATGCCGAGCGAGAGAAGCTATGATGAGCTGGTCGGCACCACGATGCAGTACTTACAAGCGGCGAAGGTGTACGAGGACGGGTGCCAGCAGAGGTGGCCAAGCCCAACGGGACCTGGAGCAGAAGGCAGCAGCGCAAACCGAACCTTAGGAGCCATGGAGGTGGACGCGCTGACACGCCAGTATCCCAGAGGCAGTGGCAAAGACGGCACAGGCAAACGTGGAGACAACAAAAGCAAACGCAAAAGCAACTACCAGAAAGGTAAGGGCGCGGATCCCACGGCGAGGGCGGCAGCAACACGACAGGCAGCCTGGAATATGTCAGGAGTACCTGGGGCGAGGCTACGCTACGCATGCGGCCACATGGGGGCACTATGCAAGGGATTGCTGGCATCGAACGGAGAACCCCAACTACGACGAGGGTCAGCAGGAGGCCGCGAACGGGCTGACAGGAGGAGTGAACGAGATCACGATGCACGACGGCTGGAGCAACGTCAGCACACCACCACCAGGGAGTCCAGCACCCTCGACAGCAGGACATTCAGTCAGCCAATGGGAGCAGGAGTTCGAGCGATCACCACGATAGGCGAGCACGCGACAGAGTGGGACAGCGGTTTCATCTTCGCAGTTGCGAAGGACTGGGGGCCAAAGGTGCAGGAGAAAATGATCTACAGCATGGTGGGGGCCCCGACCTGATGGTCGCAAACGGCACGCCGCTGAGGCACTACGGATCGAAAACGGTGACACTCTACATAGCAGGCGACAGACGCATTATTTTGGAGTTCGTCACGTCAGCGGCATCGGAGCTCACCCCACGTTTGGTCGAGCCCTCTCGGGCAGGACGAGGACCTTTGGCTGCGGCGCAGGACGAGGGACCAGTCCTTCATCCCGAGCTGTTTTTTGACGGTCTCGGGGCCCTCGGGGCCCAGTGAAGACCCTTGGAGGCCGAAAACTGCCCAAACCTTTGGTTGTGTTTCTATCACTACGGGAGGAGGGGGGGACGCCGCTTGTACAGGGAAGCAAACCATGACCATGAGCAGGATGTTGCGGAATCTTGTCAACGCTAGTCTGCTGGCCGTGGCCAATTTCCGAGGAGGATGCGAGAATCGACGGTGATCACGTTGGGCAGTGACCAGGATTGGCATCGATGTTTCCGCGTTCAGTCTTGGTCATGGTCACCGCTTTCTTTCCCTCCAGCATATGACGTCAGCCTGCAGCCCCCCCTTGTCACTACCCCGCGCGCGGGCGCGCCCCCCCCAGGGCGTCGCCGGGCAGCGCCGAGGACCTGGGCCTGTGCCGACGCCGCCGTCGGCGTCGTCGTCGGCGCCGCCGCCGCCGTCGGCACCGCCGTCGGCATCGCCGTCGCCGCGCCGCCTTCGTGGTTGTCGTTGTTTTCGTCGCCGTCGCGGCGGTCGTCATCATCGTCGTCGTCGTCGTCGTCGTCGTCGTCGTGGTCGTCGTCGTCTTCCTTCGTCTCCTCCCCCCTCGGTGGCCGCGGCGCCGACCACCCAACAAACTTGCGTGCTGCGGCCCAAGTTCCAGCGGAGTACTGCAAAGTGGAGCGCGTCCAGGTGCGTCCAGGAAGAGGGCCGTGCAAAGGTTGAAAGCCAGGTGGCGATCCGAGCAAGCTCGGGCAAGGCTGGTATGCAAAGCCAGGCGGCGAGATTAGGGCATTGCATTGACTCGTTCCTGGGGGTGCTGTGGCGCGTGGACAGTATCCAGCCTTGCCAGGCGTGCAAGACCGCAAGACCGCAAGACCGAGAGCACGAGATGCCAGCGTGGCTCGAGGACGTCCGTGGGGAATGCCGATCCAGGAGGAATCTTCTGTCGTCCCGGGAGGGAGAGATAGCTTGGGTCCACCCAGGTGCTCACCGTCGAACCCAGGGAACGGCTGCGGTGCTCACCCGGCCCGCGGGCGAGCGAGAGTGCCTGCCGCGACCAGGGGGGCGGGAGGAGAAAGGGGGAAGAGGAGCCGCCGCCACGAGCGGGCGCCACGCAACGACCGCGCGCGGCGGCGGGCCGCGGGCGCGGTGAGCGCCTGGCTGCCGACCCGGGTGGCCCCGGGTGGCCCCCGGGTTGCAGCCCTCGAGCCCAGGATTCGAAGAAAAACAAAAAAACACAAACAGAAACTTTGGGCGCTCCGCGCGGATTTCTTGGATCCGCGCTGGGCCCCCCAGCGGCGCCTCCGGCGCCGCCTCTGGCGCGCTCCGTGGGTCCAGCGCAGATCGAAGAAATCCGCGCGGAGCGCCAAAAGTTTATCTTTATGGCGTTTTTTCTCTTCTTCTAAGGATGGCGGCCGACCTGGGTGGCTCCGTGTCCCCAGTCTAGGTTGCAGCCGTCGGGCCCAGGTGGCGGCAGGAGCCGCGAGGCGAGCCCGCCGAAGCAGCCAGACGAGCCTCGGGGCGGTCCAGGCAGCAGGAGCGACACGAAGCCGCGAGCACATGGGAGAACGGCCTGGTAGGCCTCGGGGTGGACCAGGTAGCAGGAGCGACGCAAAGGCGCGAGTACATAGGAGAACGGCCAGATAAGCCTCGGGGTGGTCAAGGTAGCAGGAGTGACAAAACGCTGCGAGCACATCGGTGACACAGCCGGATAGGCCGAGATGCTAGGAGGATGAGAGGAGAAGGGGCGCCACAGGTGGACCAGGGGCAGCCACCACCCGGGAGCCACCACCCAGCAACACACACATGGTTGGATTCACATGTTGAACAGCCGGAGGAAGCGCGCTGGGGTGCACAGTCAGATGCGGAGGACTGGCGTGCCCTGCTAAGAAGGGCCGAGCGCTCCAGCGACATCTGGCCTGATGTGTATCCAGCTCGCGCCGAGGCTGGCCGCGTCATGTGTACCCAGCTTCCTGGTACGCGTTCGAAGTCGGCGGCGCTCCGACTCGGCCGCCCTCCGTTGAGCATCCTGGTGCAACCGACACGGTTCGACCTCGTCTCCGTGCCGATGCGGCCCGACCACGACGCACATTTGGGCCCGATGCGATCTCCAGGTTCGATGCTGACCGATCTTGTCCGGGGCAGCCTTGGCGCCGACTGGGGGGCCGATTTTTGGGGACTTCGGCGGGCGACGGACGTGGGTGACCATAATCCCCGCAGGTGCGGATGGCAGTGAGGGGCTGATCTGGGTTTGGCGCGGCGGGCTGCGATTTGGATGATGTCTCGAGGCGAATGGTCGCCACGAGACGTGTCAGTTCAATGACACAATGGAAGTCAAATGCCCGCCGCAGGCGCAGAGCACGATGTGGAGAACATCCTGTGAACCATGAAGAGATTACTCGGTGAACTATCAAGAGATTACTCATGTGAACTATGAAGGCGTTGCGCTCAGCTGGAATATCAGTGAACTATGAAGAGATTACTTTGCATCATCGGGGGACCTTGTCCTGTAAGTGGCAGTCTTTCCTTGTCTTCCGACGTAGTCTCGACGTGCACCCGACGTGGTTTCGACGTGGATGCGACACGGAGTCGATACGCCCGACATGGACTCGACATGAATGCGACACGGAGGGCTGGCGCGATGGGACAGCCGAAGCCCCCCGAAGGTGCGACACAGGTGAGAAGAACACCCGCCGAGGGGGCGGATCTCGGTGGCGCGCCCAGGGGAAAAGTGGGAAGGCGCAGGCCTTCTCAGAAGGCGGCAGGACTTCTCGGAGGCCCTCCGGCCCCCTGAGAAGTGTTCTGTGCCTTCGGGGAAGGTTCCGAGCACTTGTCCGAAGGCCAGAGGACTTCAGAGCCTCCTGAGAAGGCCCGCCCCCTCGCACTTTCCCCCCTGGACGTGCCGCCCATCAGCGCCTTGTGCCCCGAAGTGGGCCCGAAGACCAAGCCCAAGAGTTTTGGGCTCAGGAGGGGGGGGGGCCCGAGGAGCCCGAGCACCTGTCCCGGTTGCGCTTCTGCGCAGCCCAGGCCGGCGTCGCCGCTGGCCCGCGCGGCGGCGGGCCCCGGCCCCCCACCGGCCCTCCGCGAGGCCGCGGGCCCTCCGCGAGGCCGCGGGCCCTCCGCGAGGCCGCGCGGGTTCCCCCCCGGGCTGGGCCCCGCTCGGTCACCCGCCTGGCAGGAAGGAGGGCAGGCGCGAGGATCGGGGCGATCGAAGTGGTCGGGAGCGAAAGACAAACGTGTGCGTGCACGAATCCACGGTGGTGTCGAGAGTACGCACTGCGCGAACGTTCGTGTCGCGCGGCTGGTCTCGCGGACTGGGGGGCCGTGTTCATGCGTGCGATTGGGCGCGTGCGTCTTGTGTGTACTCCCCAGAACTAGGGACGGGAACAAGTGGTGCAAAGTCCAACAGCAGGTCCTGTTCATTCTGAGCAGAGTTCGTCGTCGGCGTCGTCGCGGCTGTTGCCCATCTGAGACAGAAGGCCGCCTGTCCAACAGCGGTCGCTGTCGGTTTTGGACAACACTTGTTGTTGGGCATCGTACCCATTTGTTTCGTACCCCTGTTTGGCGTCCAAAGAGGACGCTTGCCTGCCCCGAAGGTCGGCGCCACCATACTGATACTATGTGTGCGCCGCCCCCGAAAAGGGCGGCGCGCTCGCCAAGAAATCTTCAAGTATATGCTCCGTGCCGGGCGCTTTCTGGCCAGACCGCTCAGGAAACGATCTACTACAACATGGATGTACCATATGTTCGGGTCTGACCCACGCCTCCGAGGAGGACACGCAATACTAGTACGTCCTTGTGCGTCCCACGAAGCAGCCAACGTGTGTGCGACTCGACATGGGTCGGCGTGATCTGAACCCCCGCACTCCGCCATTCAGGCTCCTGGGGAGGGCGAATATAGCCATGTCCACCGCCTGCCGAGGTCCCCTGAAGACTGATCCCCAAGACGGTGGCTATGGACAAGTCACGCTTCGCACACGCAGGGTGCCGGGGTGCGGTATCTCCCGTGTGGCGTGAACGGTTCAACGCCGCAAGCGGTTTGGGATCGGCCGGCATCGAAAGGCCTGCGCTACGAGTAAGCCGCGGACGTTTGAGGCTGACCGATCCGCGCAGTGCCAGAGCCCACCGCGCACGTCGTCGTGGCACGATCCCGCTGCCGTGGGGACGGTCCTGGCCTCCCAGCCGGCTCCGGAGCAGGCGGGGTCGGAGAGCCGCCCCTCGTCGCCGATGCGTCGGCGGTGCGGTGCGATCTGGGGACCGCTTCTCTCCATCTCGCCGTCGCCGATGCATCGTCGATGCGTCGGCAGTGGCGCGCGCTCCTGCGGCCCCATCTGCTCTGGCCAGGTTCTGGCGGCCTCCAGATGGGGGCACGGAGGGATGGGGTGGTAGAGGGATGCAGAGGGTGGGAAGGGCGTGGGGACAGCGGGATGGAGGAGTGACGGGAGGTGGAGGGTCGGGGGGAGTGACGATTCTTACCGTTTGAGGTCCATGGTGCGTGGCAGGTGCATTGGTTTCGCGTGGCAGCCCAGGTCCCCGAAATCCCAAAGCTTCACCCTAAGTGCGCGCAAATCCTTGGGGCTTGCGATATCCGCATGGCAACATTCTCATAGTGATATTCGGGCTCTTTGCTGGGCTGGAACAGCTGTCGGCGGAAAACAATACAGAATTTGGAGCCGTGTTGTGGTTCAATCTTTAGTATTTTTTCGTGGTTCGGGATCCTGTGCCGCTGCGCAGTTTGCAGCGCGACGGTGCGGCTCGAAAATTGGTGCCGTGACGTGGCCTACATGTCGCACCGCGTGACCCACAATTTGGGCGGTAGGTCTATAGGCGATGTTGGCGGCCATATCGGGTAGAAAACAAGAAGCTATGAAGTGGGCCAGTGTGGCATGGTCGTCGCCGTCGTCACTGCCGCCGACTTTGTCGTCGGCGCCGCCGTCGTCAGCTTTGCCACCGCCGTCGCCGTCGCCGCCGCCGTGGTCGTCGCGATCGTCGTCACAGCTGACGTGGCCGTGTTGCGAAGTCTCGCTGGGCCGCTGTTGCAGTCGGCACGGACGCGGGCGGGCAGTTTCCCCTCTCCCCGCGCCTCCGCCCCCGGGTGCCGCGGCAGGACCTGCATCGGCCGCCGCGAGGCGTGTTCGCCCGCGACTCCAGGCGGTCGCCGCCGCCCTGCTGCTCTCATCGCCCCCGTGCGCGCGCGTGCGCGCGCGCGGCAGCGCACGGGCCACGCCCGCGGGAGCCCATGAGCCAAAGGCTCCCCAGGCGTACTCAGCCGCTGATGCGCTGATGCGAGGTGTGAGGTCGATCGTCGCCCAGGCGCAGCGTGGACGGCTCTGGGCCCCCAGAAGGCGGCGGGACTTCTCAGAAGCCCTCGCGCCTTGGAGAAGTTTTCTGTGTCTCCGGGGAAGGCTCAGAAAGCTTTGCAGAAGGCCAGGGGACTTCCGAGCCTTCTGAGACGTCCCGCCCCTTCTCACTTCCCCCCTCGGCTCGCCGCCGAGAGGAGGCATGCTGCCAGCTAAATGGTCGACACGTGCAAGTGGTGTTCCTGGACATGAGACAGTCGCAGGCAGATGTCTTTACAGGGCGCCTTCTTGTACCGCGCCACGTTGGTCCTCCACTACCAGTGCGCGCTCAGCCCCATTGAGATTTCCCCATCCGACCGAGCGCTGGAACGCCCAGGAGTAGGAGCGCCACTCGGTGCTGCCAGGTCTGTCGGGCCCGCCAGGACACTCCCACTGGACCGCGTCAAGGATTTCTTTCTTATGATGCAATTCCTGGGAGGTTGAAGTCAGTATCCGTATCCGATATACATAATCCCGCTTAATTTTGCTCGGCCCGGCCTTGTCTGGCGCCATCGGGTTTAATTCTGGCCTAATCTGACACCCCCATTGGGCTTCATATTTTTTTGATTGTTCGTGCGAAGTCCTCCCAGGAATTGCCTCCTAAAGGAATCCCTGGCACCTCCTACCAGACCGCGTCGAGGATGCCCTTCGTTGCAGCCCCCGCGAGCCAGCTTCCCCCCAGGCGTGGCACCCAAGATCCGACGTTGCGAACCAATACAACATCGCGAAAAATCACGACCGGAGCACCAGACCCAATCTTTCCGCCGCACTTCTCGAGCCGGATCGATTCGTAAGGGTTTTGGAGCCCGAAACATGGCAAACTCGCCCGCTGTGACAAAAAATGCGGCGCCAGGATCTCAGGAACCGCCCGCTGGACCGCGACGAGGGTGCCCTCCGCTCGGCGTCACCCAAGCCCAAGCATACTTGCACTACCTTGTGTGCGTCGGCCCCCCAGGGGCGACGCGCGCGCTCAGACGTTTTATAGTACATCTTCGGAGGCGGGCGCTTTCTGGCCGTTCCGCTTGGGTAGCGGTATGCTGCCAGATGTTTGTACACTATGCTCGGTTCGGACTCGCGCCTCCAAAGAGGGCGCACAGTACTGGTATGTCCTCTTGCGTCCCATTCGTTCCGGCCCCCGCGAGCCGGCTTCCCCCCCCGGCGCGGCCCCCCCCGGCGCCAGCGTTGGTTCAATCCTGGCGTTTTTCTTGGCTACGGCCTGCGGGGCTTGTTTCATGGGCGCCAGGACAATCAAACATTGACCCTGGGTGAAAGACTGGCCCTGGGTAGGGACTCGGGAGCCCGGGGCCGCGGATTGGAAAAATTGTATCCGAGGATGTCCGGGCCCAGAGTTGGTCTCGAAGGTTTACACCGCGCTCACTTCTATACCCCTGGGTGGGTGCACGTGACCGGGCATCCTCACAACTCTGGGATCCAAGATGCCTTGCGCTCAGGTTGTCAGGCCCTTTTCGCCTGATATATCCTCGCGTGATCTACATTACTGGAGCGCTTCCTTGTGTTGGATTGGTGTTATATCATGCTACATCCCTTATGCGGGTATGGTGTTTCAGTTTGAGTGCCAGCCGCATTAGCTTTCTTCGTTCCCCTCGTTTCTCCCCTCATTCCTCTTTCCTGCTCATTTGTCCCTCCCTCCTCCTCCGATTTGTCGACTCTGCGGCATGTGCGCGAATGTGCGTTTTTATGTTTTCAGAGTTTTGCCAGACTGCATCCGACTGTGCATCGGACTGTGCGGCATGTGCGCGCATGTGCGGCAGTGCTGTTGAGGCTTTTGTGGAGTTGCACGGGCATGTGCATTCGACTGTGCGGCATGTGCCTGCATGTGCGGCCCCTTCTGGACTTCAATTTGAATGTGAGCACTATAGAAGTGAGCGCTATAGAAGTGAGTCCGGTGTACGACGCGCCAGTGACCCGGAATCGGGCGAAATCTCGAGCCGCTTGCTCAACCAGAACGCCGCGATCGATCAGGGCTGAACGATCCACGCAGCGTCAGGAACCAACGCGCAGGCCGCCACGACTCGAACCTGCTGCACCTGCTACCGTCAGTGGACCGCCCCGATCAGAGCGGGCCCCCGTTCACGCGACGCTCGGGCGCCTCCCAAGACGGGTACCCCAACCGGCCTGCTGGCCCAGCCCGCCGAATGATGCGACCCTGGCGTCCTGCCGTGATCTCGACGGAGGGTTTTTCCCTACCTAGGCTCTGCCTAGAAGGATTCTTACTCTCTGGGCTTAAAGGGCCGGGCAGTGGAAAGCGCCCCGGGCGGTTCCCCCAGTATCCGCCCGGCGGTTCCCCCAGTTGCGCCCTTTGGGTTCACCCAGCTTAGCTTAGCTAAGCTAAGCTAAGCTCAGCTTAGCTTAGCTCAGCTTATCTCATCTTGGATTAGCTTAGCTTAGCTTAGCTTTGCCTAGCCTAGCTTAGCTTAGCTTAGCCTAGTTTAGCATAGCATAGCTTAGTTCATCCCATCTTAGCTTAGATTAGCTTAGCTTAGCTTGGCTTGGCTTGGCTTGGCTTAGCTTAGCTTAGCTTAGCCTAGCCTATCTTAGCTTAGCTTAGCTTAGCTTAGCTTAGCATAGCTTAGCTTAGCTTAGCTTAGCTTAGCGCAGCATAGCGCAGCGCAGCATTAGCACGGCATAGCATAGCATAGCATAGCCAAGCATATATAGCATATTATAGCATAGCTCAGTATAGCATATCATAGCATAGCATAGCACAGATCATCATATCATATCATCGCATATCATAGCATATCATATCATTGCTTAGCATACCACAGCGCAGCATATCATAGCATTGCACACCATTTCATAGCATATCATAGCACATCATAGCGCAGTATAACATATGATACCATAGCATAACAGAGCAACACCAATGCGACCTTGTAGATGTATATGTAGATGTAGGTGTAGGCGTAGATGTGGATGTAGGTGTACATGTAGATATAGATGTAGCTGTAGGTGTAGATGTAGGTGTAGATGTAGATGTAGATGTGAGCCTCGCTGTTGATGCTGATTTAGATGTATATGCAGGTGTATATGTAAATGTAGCTGTCGGTGTAGATGTAGATGTTGCTTTCCTAAGTGCTCCAACTCCTAGGTAGGGTCGCACTGGGATAATTGTTGGTTTTCCGTCCCTGGGGGCCCTCGCCGGGCCCAGGGCGAAACGATCGCGAGGCGACCATAAGGAGCAGGAGGAGGAGGAGCAGGAGGAGGAGGAGGAGGAGGAGGAGGAGGAGGGGGAAGGAGGAGGAGGAGGAGAAGGAGGATTAGGATGACGGAAGGATGGGTGATTCGTTCGGTTTGATTGGGGGAATTTTATGGCGACGTTGTGAAGAAAACACTACGGGAGATGTTTGGGGAGGCGCGCGCCCGCGCGCGGCGTCTCGATCGGGTCGGCCTTGCGCGCCCCCGAGGGCGGGCCTCACCGCACGGCTTGCGCCGCATGGCTCTCACGTCCGCAGCGCAGCAGCCCACTGCTCGGGGTCCACGCTGGCCAACATCATTGCTAAGGCCGTACGTCTGGTGCCGCTGGCCCTGGACGACGACCCCGACGAGGAAGAGGCATTCGGGAGGGTCGGGGCCAGACGCTCCCAAGAGTGCCCAAGAGACTGCACGGTGCCCTCAAGAGGTGCCAATAACCCCCACGAAGTTTTTTGGGGCATCTCGAGGGTCTTTTGGGAGCCTCCTGGGGCTTCCTGGTGGTTCCCTGGGGGCGCCTGAGTTCTTCACCCAGGGCTGCTGGACCCCGCGTCTCGTCGAGATCTTCGGGAGTCTCTGGGCCCCGATCGGGGAGCGCCACCTGTGGTCGTCGTCGTCGTCGTCGGCGGCGGCGTCGTCGTCGGCGATGTCGTCGTCGCCGTCCTCGTCGCCATCCTTTCATCGCCCGACGCCGACGCCGACGCGACGCTGCCGCGGCGGCGGACGCCTCCGCCTCTTCGCGCGCGTGCCACCGCCGAGGCACGCCCTCACGGCCCCCGACCGCAGCACCCTGGGCGACACGGGCTTCGGCGCGCCGCCGCGCCGCCGCGGCGTTGCCGCCGTCTTCGGCGCCTTCGGCGCCTTCGCCGACGACGCCGCCGCCGCTGCCGCCGCCGCCGTCGTCGCCGCAGCCGTCGTCGTAGTCGTCGTCGTCGTCGTCGTCGTTGTCGTCGTCGTCGTCGTCGTCGTCGTTCTGGTCGTGGTGCTGGTGGTGGTCGTCGTCGTGCGCCGTCCGTCCGCCAGGTCGTCGTCAGTATTCGTCGCCGTTCTATGAATGACAGAGCTGCTGGAAGGAGCATCGTCGTTGGTCGATGGGTCGGAACGTCTTCCGCCCCATGCTGGCTTTCAGGTTCGCCTGCGCACGTATGCGGGTCGCATGCTGCAGTCGGGGTGGGACCGAAAGCCGACCTGCCCCATCTTCTTGCAACGCCAGCCATGTTGTTCATCGCTAGATCTCGCTTGCTCGACTAGTTCTTGCATGTGAGTTTCCCGTCTCGTCCCTCCCGAATCCAATCCCTCCTGGCCAGCCCATCGTTGCCACATGAGTTCTTGTGAGCCTGCAAGATTTTCGGAGTTAGCTTGCCCGTGCACGAAGATGCGGCAATTCTTCGCCTCCTGCTGCTCCCGTGGCGCGCAGACATCTCCAGCCTGACCGCCACTTTCGACATCTCCGGCATCGAGAGGGTCTCGGGGGTCTGCAAATATTTGCAAGCACATCGCTGCATGATTGGATGCCTTTGTTCGGGGAAACGTGAGACTCGAGTGCGCCGAAACTCGGGTTTGACGACGCTTTTTGACGAGCGCGTCCTGGAATTTGACGGTCCAGTTTTTGTGGGATGTTTGCAGAGGGAACTCGCGTCAAATTTCAGATTGGGTCTCGTCATGTTCATGATGGCCCCGTCAGGCCAACCCGAGTCTCCCGAACCCGAGTCTTGCGTCTCCCCGATGTGTGTGTGTGTGTGTGTGTGTTTGTGTGTGGGTGTCTCTCGCGCTCAGCTGCTCGCTTCTGTGGGCGTGTATCCTGATCAGCTGTATTTTGCCCACCTGCGGGGATCTTCGGCGTCTGGTAGGTCAAGTTCACGGCCTCGGTCTGCGGTGTTGACCGCTTTTGGTCGTGACGGCTTTGGCACGGCCGCACGTCTCCTCGCGCTTTCTTTGCTCTCTTCGCCCCCTCCCATTTTTGTGCGATGGTGGCGGTGGTTGGGTGGTCGACCCTCCCCGCATCGGTGCCATTACAGGGGCACATTGTAACTGCGGCTGACCTCTCGCGCAGCGTCTGTTAGTCTGAGCTTGTCGCGTGTGGTATCGCACGCGCCTGACCCTTGGTCGGGGCGGTTGCTCTCTCGCTTGTCAGTGTCGGTGGATGTTTGGCCTGGTGGCTGACTCACCGTGCCGGTTGTGCCTTTACAATTGCACGGCAGACAGGATATTTGGTCGGCTGTTCAGTCCTGTGGCGTGACAAAGGACCTGGACCTGCAGTCCGTACTGCATGATGTCCTGTTTTGCATGCCTGTGCCCATTTGGAAGGAGCATGGGCGCGTCGGATCGTCGACGCGTTTCTTTTTGGGTTACGCTGTCGTAGTGCTGCTGCATGTATGTCCAATGTTGCGCACCTAGTCGCGGTGCTTGCGTTGTCGGTTCGTAGTTTCACACCCTACCAATCTGCTGTGTCGGGCCGTTCTGGGTCAGCGGTTTATCCCACCTATCGGCTGGTCTCGCAGCTGTTACAGTTTTTGTTGCGCTTCACTGTCTAACACCTCTTCGGTGGTTCAGTGGCCGCCAATTCGCACCAGACTGCTTGCGCTCGAGTTGACTTTGACTTGAGTTCCCTCCTCAGTTTCCTGGGCTTAGAGTTCCCCTTTCACACCACCCATTGCTTCACTTTTCAAGGTGCGACGCTTCGTGCACTGTGCCTTCGACGATGCTCGATCGCAGTTAGGACTTCCATCTGCTGCCCGCGCTTGAGGACCCTCTGCGCCGCCGGCTCACAAAGTGTGTGTGTCTGTGTGTGTGAGAGTGTGTATGTGTGCTTTGACGCAGGATTGACTGTGCGATAGTATTTGCTTCGATGCCGTGTGCCTGCGTGCGTGCGTGTGCAAGTGCGTTTGCACGGCGAAGTTCGATTAGTTTTACGCCAAACGCGATCTGGGGAGGGATGATGGTGGAGAATTGCGTGCCGTCATGAAGGTTCAATGCCAGGATTGGTGTGAGTATGTGGTTTATGCAGGAATGCAGCTCCAAGACAATACTTCAGTAGGGGATGCGCGAGATTGCTTCCCTTCTCTGGAGGACTTGAACGATGTCCCGATTGTAGAGGACCTGCTGAGCTGCTTCTTCTTGCCTTGCCGCGCCAGGCTTTTTGATATCATTCTATGCATGTTTCTCCACTGGCTCCTCAAGCTGGTGCTGCCAGCCCTGCTGCCTAGCTACGCTGCTACTGCTACCGCTACCGCTACTTCCACTGCTGCTCCTGCTTGTGCAGCTTTTGCTGCTGTTATAGCCGCTCCTCCTGCTGCTTCTGCCAGTGCTGCTGCCGCTAATCGTACCACTACTGCTACTTCCACTGCTGCTACCGCCGCCGCTGCCACTGTTGCTGTTGCTTCTGCTGCTGCTGCTACTCCTACTCAGCCACCGCCACCACTCAGGTCACCATGGCTGTCCATAAGAGTATCATTGAGGATGCCTGCGGCGAATCACCGCCGCCCTCTGCATTCTGGAAACGCCCGTGTGGCGACACGGCAATCGAAGGTGCGGCCATGCTGGCGGACGGCGTTCTCCAGAGAGCACTGAGGAACACCTAGGGAGGGGTACCCTCTCGGGCCATCTCTTGGGGCTCTCCTTGGTAGAATCTTTGTGTAAGAGTAGTCCGCGGGCGTGGAGCTCTTACAAAGAATCCTGGCAGTCTGGACCAAAAATGTAGCTGGCGTTGAGGCGAGAACACGATCCTTCAGATACAGGCGTTGCAACTTTTTAACACTGGGCGTTTTCGCCTGATTTCGGGCCCCGCCTGACAGATCGATCCGGCTCGAAAAATGACGCAGCAAGATGTGGTCCGGGGTTCGGGTCGTGATTTTTCGCCATGCTGCAATCTCTTCACCACGACGGATCTCGGGGATTCCTGAACAGCTTGGGAGGAGGTCTCGGGCGAAGCTGCCGTGGTGGTTCCGGCTTGCGGTGCGCCCTCCCCCTCCCCCTTCTCTCGCTGCCCTGCCTTCTTCGTCTCCCTCCCTCTTCTCCTCAGTTGGTAGCCTTTGCTTCCCCGTGTGCAGCTGCAGTGCTTGCGGGGCCGCGGTTGGCCGACCCCCCCCCAGCGGCATCTCGCCTCTTTGGGTTTGCTCCTCTGCCGCCTTCTCCTGGCCCCTGGTGCTGTCAGACGCCCTAGTTCGGGGGTTGCTAAATGAGTGACGCAACCAAAACGGGGTCGTCTGCGCCGACATTGGCGCGTAAGCTGCCCGCGTAAGGTCGCGCGTAAGCGCCCTCGTCTCCAATGTAGCTTTCTGCCGTGGCGCCCCGCGTAAGCCGCCGCGTAAGGTCGTTATGCCATCTTGCGTGAGACCCGTTCATTTTCGTCGCTCAATGTGCCCCTGGCCTGAGGTGCGAGTATCCTCGATTGGCATTAGTTAAGTGCTCGATCATGGACCGCATGCTGAACGCGGCCAGCCAGCTTTCTCGCAGAAGACCGCTGGACACCGCCGAGTACCGCCAGAGACCGCCGAACGCCGCCGAAGACCGTCGGCAGACCGCCGGAAGACCGCCGAAGACCGCCCAGGGCCGGTGGGTAACGAGGTGTCCATGGTCGAATGCGTAGCATTGGCGCGTGCTTGCACCTACTGATTGGGTTTATACGTTTCCACCGCCAGGGTGACCGATTTTCCTCTACCTCGGGAGGCCGCAGATTTTGACCTCTTCGGACCCCACGGGGCCAAGAGTGTATCCATGCCCACTGCCCCCCCCCTGGGGTCCTGGGACATCGTCCCCCCAGACGGTGTATCCGCACGATTTCCGGCCTTGACTGTCCAGCGAGCGGGTGGGCATATTTTGGCAATGTACACCAGGATGCCACCGCAGGTGGGGCTAGGACTCGGAAGCCCGAAGGGAATAGCACACATCCCCACCTGGGCGGGTAAGCTGGCCAGTAGTGCCAGGGCCACGCTGGTGGGGATACGGATCGGTTTCACGATGCTCAACTACCCTTGATATTCGACATCACGAGCCGGAGCCCTGGACCCTATCTTTTTGCTGCATTCCTCGAGCCAGATCGATCTCCCAGGGTCTTGGGGTCCAGAACAGGGCAAGATCGCACGTTGCGACGCCATGATCTGAAGGGCGGCGGCGACCGTCGACGTCGGCGTCGCCGCGGCGTCGACGGCATCGACGACGGCGACGACGACGACTACGACGACGACGACCGCGTCGACGACGACGATCACGACAACCACGACAACGACGACCACGACGACCACGACGACCACGACGACGACGACTAACCACTGACAGCGACGACGACTAACGACTGACGGCGACGACGACCACGACGACCACGACGGCGGCGGCGGCGACGGCGGGCTGCCCTGGCAGGACGATGGCGAGGGCGAGGATTTCGAACGCGACGTCGAGCTGGCGCGCGCCGCCGCGGGCCAGCAGCCGAGGCCCTGCCCTGGGGTCGCCCTCGTGGGTCAGCCGTCAGGCCTCCCTGAGATCTTTGCGTTGCCACGGATGTAATCTTGTCGTGACGTCGGATCTCAGGTCCAGCCAACCGCCTTTGTCGCCGCGGCGGCCACCGACGCCGAAGCGATGTCGCCGCCGCGGCCGCCGCCGATGCCACGGCGGCACCGACGCCGACGCTCGCCGCCGCCGCCGCCGCCGTGGTCGTCGTTGTCGTCGTCGGCGTCGTCGTCGTCGTCGTCGTCGTCGTCGTCGTGGTGGCGTGGTCGTCATCGTCGTTGTCGTGGTCGTCGTGGTGGTCGGCAGTCGTCAGTCGGAAGTCGTCAGTCGTCAGTCGTCCGTCGTTAGTCGTCAGTCGTCAATCAAGGTCGTCGACGTCGTCGTCGGCGTGGTCGTTGCGGTCGTCAAGGTCGTCGTGGTCGTCATGGTGTCGTGGTGGTCATAATGGTCGTCTTGGTCGTGCTCGTGGCCGTCTTGGTTGAGGTGGGAGGATCGCGATTCGAGGATTGGCGTTTGATGATCGTGAATTGCAGTCGATCGAGGATCTGTTCGGGTGTCCAGGGGCCCCTGGAGGCAGCATCCAAGGACCTCCAGAGACCTCTGGTGTCGATGACGCCGCCGTCGTCGCCACCGCTGTCATCTAGGTCTGAACGAGTTTTTGTTTCTCCGGGGCCTCAAGAGCTCCCCAGGGCCTTTTGGAGGCCTCTGGGGAACCCGCGTCCCTCCTCCAATTTGTCCCCCGCTCCCTCCCGTCCTCAGTCCTTCCTCCCCGCCCCTCGTCCCTGATCCCTCGTCTTATTCGTCCCTCTTCCCTCGTGCCTCCTCCACCCTGTGCCTCGTCTTTCCTCTCCCTCCCTCCCTCCTTCTGCGTCGTGGTCGTCGTCGTCGTCGTCCTCCTCCTCCTCGTCTGCTTCTACTTGTGGCCACGATAGGGCTCCAATATTTCTTACAGCAGTATTTCTTATCGCAGGGGTTCACTGTAGTCGTGCAGCGCCTGCGCTGCTCTGCTTGCTTGCCTCTGCCGCTGCCTCCGCCTCCTCCTCCTCCTCCTCCTCTTCCCCTCCCCTGCCCCTGCTGCTCTCCGCTTATCTTTCGGCGGCGCGCCGAGGATGGAAGTGAGAGGGGGCAGGCATTCCCACCAGGCTGCTAGGCTTCTCAGAAGCCCTCGGGCCTCCCGAGAAGCCCTCTGGCCTCTCAGAATCTGGAGGCCCTCCGAGCCTCCTGACAGGGCCCACGCCCTCTGCCTTCCCCCTTGGAGGGGCGCCGACGATGGACACGAGCACGTCTCCAGTGCACTGCCCGAGGGACCCACGGCAAGAGCTGTGGGGCGAGCCAGGGTGCGCGGACGTTCCGCTGACTCCGATTGGTGCCCTTCGTGAGTTCGGCCTGCTGGAGCCTCTACTCGGTGGTTCGAGCACCAGATACGGCCTGCTCGTGCGATTTCGGAGGAGGAAGAGAAGGAGTTCGATCAGCAGGAGGAGGAGGAGGAGGAAGAGGAGGATGGGGAGGAGGAAGAGGAGGAGGAGGAGGCGGAGGAGGAGGATAAGGATGAGGAGGACCAGTATGAGGACGAGCAGGGGGGAAATGGGAATCAGGGATGAGGAGGCGGAGGGAGGGAACAGGAGTAGGAGTGAGGGGATGGAGGGAAGGGAGGGATTATGATAGAGGAAACGGAGGAGGTCCACCTTTTTCCCTCGTCCCCTCTCCTCAGGATCTCTCCTCCTCCTCTCCCCGTACGGTGGCGCCGCCGCCAACCGCCGCCGCCGTCGCCGTCGCCGACGACGCTGACACTGCCACCGACCATGACGCCGACGCCACCGCTGCTGACGTCGCCGCCGACGCCGCCGCCGCCGACGACCGCGCCCCAGCGGGGGGCCGCGCCCGCAGGCCCAGCAGCGCCGCCCCCGCGTCGGCGGCGGCCACAGAGGGTTCGCAGGCGCCAGGCGCCCCCCGCGACGCCGCCACTGCCGCCGGCGCCGTTGTCGCCGCCGCCGCCGTCGCCGTTGACGCCACGGCGGCGGCGCTGCCGCCGTTAATGGGTTCGAGGTGCTCGGGCGTTGTTTGGGCCTCTGGGATGTCACTCGCCGCCGCGGTTGGAGTCCCTCTCGATAGCCTGGCCAGAGCGCACCACAGGAGGCGTCGGCTCGTCGCCATCGTCTTGGTCGTCTTAGTTATCGTTGTCGTCGTCGTCTTCGTCGTGGTTGCCGTCGTCGTCGTGGTCGTCGTCGTCGTTGTCGTCGTCATGGTCGTCGTCGCCGTCGTCGTCGTCGTCGTCGTCTTCGCCGCCGTCGCCGTCGTCGTCGCCGTCGCCGGCGTCTTGGTCGTCTCAGTCGTCGTCGTCGTCGTGGTCGTCGTGGTCGTCGTGGTCGTCGTGGTCGTCGTGGTGGTGGCGGTCGTCGTCGTCGCCACCGCTCCTGCTCCACAGGAGGAACAGTCGGAGTTCGACGGGGGCCTTGGAACGTCGGCCGAGCGCCCGGATGTGTGTCAAGGTGTGGCCCGCGTCAGGGCTCGAGAGCCCAGGAGCAGGCCCGTCAGGCGCGAAAGATGGATGCACACGTACATAAATCCACGTCGTCTTCCAAAGTGCACACTGCGCGAACTTTCGTATCACGAGGCTGGTCCGCCTTTCTCTGGGCGGGGTGCGAGACGGTGCACGAGGAGGAGCAATCCAGGGATCATAACACAATTGATGGGGATGATGATTCTGATGCTGATGCAGATGATGATGATGATGATGATGATGATGATGATGATGATGATGCTGATGATGATGATGATGATGAAGATGATGATGATGATGATGATGATGATGATGATGATGAACATGATGATGAGGATGAGGATGATGATGATGATGATGATGGTGATGATCAGGATGGTAATGCTGCTGATGATGATATGATAATGACGATGCTGATGATGCCGATGATGATGATGATGATGATGATGATGATGATGATGATGATGAAGGTGATGATGATGAAGATGATGATGATGAGGCTGATGATGATGATGATGACTATGATGATGATGATGATGATGATGATGATGATGATGCTGGTCATTCTGATGATGCTGATGATTATGGCATCGTCATCGTCATTGTCATCGTCACCATCGTTGGCATCGTCATCGTCATCTTCATCGGATGATGATGATGATGATGATGATGATGATGATGATGATGATGATCATGATGATGATGATGATGCTGATTATGATGATGATGCTGCTGATGATGATGATGATGAGGATAAGGATGAGGATGAGGATGAAGATGATGATGAGGATGCTGCTGATGATGACGATGATGGCGATGATTGATGACTGACGCTTGATTATCGATAATTGATGATGATGATGATGATGATGATGATGATGATGATGATGATGATGATGATGATGATGATTGTGATGATGA